TCCGCTCCGCGGCGCTCCATTCGTATGGTCGAAAAGGCTGCCGCGCTGTTGACGAAGCAGAAGCTTGCATGTGGCGGAAAAAAAAAAAATTGACCTTTTATATACCTTCGGCGCTCATTTGGAAATGTCAGGCCAACGTTTACGTGAGGCCAATTCAATGCTTGGACGTATATATTCTCAAATGGGCTTTTTTCTTGGAGATTTGCGCCGCACTTGTAAGTGCAATGTCTCTGCGACAGATCCGGATATGCTGTAAACTTACTTAATACTTTGAAGTTGGCGGGCTGTATAGTATAGGGGCACTGGCGAAGAAGAAAAAAAAAATTATAGCCCGATTCGCAAGTGAAGTCAGAAGAGTGCCACGTTCTACGCTCACGGGTTACACTCGATCAAATGAATAGTTTCCTTTTTTTCTTTCCTTTCATTAAGTTAGTGCTGCTTTTCATTGTAACGCCATATCAAGAATTCTTGCAGACGTGCTAATGTAATCAAATCGGCAGAGTGGTAACAGTGTGAACAGTCGCCCATTCGCGCTGTAAGTTGTTCGGCGTTCAGTGGTTATGTTTAGGTAATCTAAGAACGAACATCGAGATATTTTGCTTGTTCAAGAATAACGCAGCATGCGTTCAGTTTGGTGTATTCGATATGGAACACTGCACGTTACATAGCAGTGACAATTTACTATTGCCATTGTGCAACCAAAACATAATTCAAAATACAGAAATGGCAACACCGACACTTACTCTGCGAAAGACGTGGGGGATAAATGTAGGTCGGCTAGTTGAAGCCTTCCAAAAGAGTGCGGCGAAATTTGTTATCACATTATTTCAGTGATAGAACCAGGACGCCGATCTATATAGAGCGTAACTCTGCTTCGGTTGACCACCTCATAAATATCTGCACGCGATAAAATACTGAATCGATGCGTCACAATAGGCGGACAATATGATTCAACGACGATAATTATCCCAGTTTTCTTCATTAAACTTCTCCAGAAAGAATTGATTGATTGATACGCGGGATTTAACGTCCCAAAACCACTATGCGATTATGAGAAACGCCGTAGTGAAGGGCTTCGCAAATTTTGACCACCTGGGGTTCTTTAACATGCATCTAAATCTGAGCACACGGGTCTACAGCATTTTCGCCTCTATCGAAAATGCAGCCACCGCAGCCGGGATTCAATCCCGCGACCTGCGAGAGGTGGCGGGGCTCTCCAGAAAGGAGAAATGGTAGAATGTCTATATATTTTTTAAATTGAGGTATTTAGTATTTAGAAACAAGGGATTATAATGAAAATAAAGTAATACTGCCACAAACGAATTAATAGCTCCTTAAATTTATATAAAAAAATGTGGCAGTTGCCACGCTTTTCTTCGTAAATTGGACCAAAATAAATGCAGTAACAAAAAATACTTCGCGGTAGTGCAGCCAGTAGATTCTGGCAGCGATTCATTCTGCTCTGGACAATTCGATAGGCCGAGGACGCCACTCCTGGCTGACACCTAGGCATGTGATCCGCACTACTGAGGCCACCGGATCTTCAAATAAAGTTTTTAGGGGCGAAGCTCCTTAAGGCGTGGGCTGTGCGTCCCCTGTATGTAGCCACCTCTCGTTTAGTTCTTGCAGTGTCCACTAGATGGCGGTACCGTCTCCTGTATGTCGCCTCCCCTCGTTTAGTTCTTGCAGTGTTCACTAGATGGCGGCACTGTCTCCTGCATGTAGCCACCTCTCGTTTAGTTCTTTCAGTGTTCACTAGATGGCGGGACTTGTAGCTGATGATGAGGCGAGGTTTTGAGGCGAGGGAAGCGCAGAGCAAAATAAGGTTCGAAGAAAGGCTAAGAAATATGAAGGAGAGTAGATGGGCAGAGAAGGTGTTCCGTTATTTGTATAGGAAGAGCGTGGACACACAGTGGAGAAAAAGAACTAGAAGACTCACTAGTAAATATACGGCTGGTATTGTGAGCCATATGTCAACAAAGAGCGCTAAGGGAAAAGTCAGGGAGGCGGAGAGGATTTACTGGATGGCAGCTATGGAGAAAAAACCGGCTTTGAGTAACTACCGAAAGGGCAAAAATGAAATAAGGAGGGAGGCATTTTACGATAATTCAAGGGGAAGCGCTTTACTGTTTGAAGCGAGATCGGGTTGCCTTAGAACGCGTAGTTATAAAGCAAGATTCAGTAAAGAAGAAGAACAATGCACATGCTGCGGGAAAGATAAGGAAACGGCGGAGCATGTTCTGATTGAATGTGGAGATATCCACCCAGGTGTACGTTTGGGCACGAGCCTACAGGAAGCCTTGGGTTTTAGGGACAACAATGGAAAGCTGAACACACCCGCGATTGAAATAAGTAAGAGACGGTTAGAGTATTGGTGGCAGAAAATTAGAGAGAAAGGACAAAAATAAATATTGGAAAAATAAAATATGAACAGTGTGCCGTAAATGGAAGAGAACTTAAGCTGAAAATTTACCTTTTTTCCATTACGATAGAATTTATCGAAGTAGAGGCATTAGGCCAACATAAAAAAAAAAGGGGAAAAAAGGTTTTTTTTTTTGTCGAGCCTGGTGGCATACTTGCCACCACCCCGTTATAAAGGGGACGCTCATAGCATCCATCCATCCATCGATGAAGAAATGCAAGATGTTATAAACTAGACGGCGGTACTTGTAGTTGATGATGAAACATGCGAGATGTTATAAAATAGGAATAATGTCACATACGGCACGTGTCATCATTGGTGAAAGGCAATCGTTCGATTTAGTGCGGCGACGTACGCTAGGGGGAGCATTGTAATAAAATCGAGTGGGCAAAAGGTACGGAAGATTCATGGTTTACCAGGTTTTCCTCCAGAGCTTCGCCCACTCATCATCATTCACTTCGTGGATATGGCGGCACTTTTGTTTCTCCTCCTCTTGATCATACGCAAAAAAAAAGGGGGGGGGGGAGCAATTTGGAATCCCGTGCGCTCTGCCACGGTCTCCGCTATCACCAGAATCCGCGCCCTCTATCGATAGCCGGGCGTGCGAAGCCATACTGTCGTTTTGCTGGGGAGCGCAGCAATTGTACCGGCCGGAAAGGAACACGCCTCGCGCTCGCCATCTCGAAGGCCACGCCTTGTTAGCGCCACTTCCAGGCACGGACGCTGGGTGAAGTTGAAGCCACGAAGACGCCTCCGAAATCTGCGACGTCACAGCATTTGGTGCGAGAATCTCGAGGCGGTGCCACCCGCAATTTTTCTTTTTCGTGCGTTTTCTCGCTTACTCAGCGTCATTTTCGCGAATGGAGTGGCGTTTTCGGAATAGTGAAATTGTAATTATTACGCGAAAAATTATTTTGCTCTTTAACATTTTTTTAACGTGCTGCTTCTATCAAGGCACCCTAGCGCGGAGCGGGCACTTCGCGGCAGCTACGCAGCTTACGATGCTTAAATAAGCAAATGGCCAAGTACATGTGCAGTTACAGGTAGTGCATGAGACAAACTTGATTACGGATTTATATTTGTCCACACAGCGAGCATCAGCGTCGGCATAATTTTCTTTCGGGAGGGTGCCCATGTTGCACTGAATGAATTGGGGGGGGGGGGGGGGGGGCAGCGCGGTGTGGCTTAGGTCGGGACAAATGCCCCTTTTGCCGCCTTCTGTCAACCCCCCCAAGAGAGCGGGTGATTTCTAGATTACTGAAATTTAATTGTAAAATTCGACAACCAATCAGCAGTATTTCCTGAGTGTTCTGGAAAAGTCTCGAAGGACACCTCTGAAGGCAAGCTCTGGCGTCTTTTTACCATATTGCGACATCGCTGTTTTCAAATATTGACAGGTCTGTATCAGGTAAGGCGTGTTTACGCTAGAGGGACAGGACACTGACATGACCCCGACAAAGACGCGAGGCAGACGCAGAAGACCATCGGCCAAAGGGTCGCCAGACCCCACGGTCACACTAGGCCGACGACGACGCCTCAAAACACAACATATCGTCGTAGTGTAACATAATGACAGACCGAAAACACCAGCAAAGCGCTTCCGCAGACCTGTCATCAGCGTGTCTTAGGGAGATCTTCGGCTGAGCGAAAATTTGCCGCATGTTTTTGCTTCAAACTGGCCTTGAAGGGGACAATCTTGGGGGAGTCAACAATGCCTCCACTAGGCTTCCCAGGTGTCTGAATAGACATCTTGAGCACCCAACCGAAGTCTTTTCTTTGCTTCCCTTTTGTGTCCCTCGTCACCAGTGACTATAGCGGGGGCTGCGCCCCATAGCCAGAGAGGACAATGATAGAGCAGGGAGCATGGCTGAAAATGAGGTGTAGGTGTGCAAGTTTAGTCGGCGTCGCTGTGTGTGCCAATGTGACTACAGATTTGGCGAATGAAAGACTGAGCACGGCAGGGCGTGGACGGAGTCTTCGAAAGACCATGGTGCACTGTTTGTGTCTTTGCAGTGTACAAAGGACGACAGGACAAAAGACACTTCCAAAGACAGTCCACAGACCGAAATCAGTGTCCAGTCTCTCTAGTGTAATTGCACCTGTAGAATGGTTCAGCTTAGCCCAGAAGTTCGTCCTTAATTTTACACAACCTAAAAGAAGGCACCTGAAACGTTCAAATGGCTACCTACTCAGTGCAACGTCTGTGATGATATCACACTCTACCACACTGAAATGTACACACACCACACATAACTCTAACGCAACTATCAGACATTTTTGCTGGGGGAAATGTGGATTCATTTCGACCACCTAAGAATTTTTCCTTAATGCACGCCTTCAAACTGCGAGCACACTGGCATGTTAGTACTTCGCTTGCATAAAAATGTGGCCACGATGACTAGGAATTTAGCCTCAAACCTAAATACCAGCAGAAAAACACCACAGCTGCTAAGTGTGCCCACTGAGATGAGTTGGCTAGTTCTTACTGTAAGGTGCAGCTATCTCAACCAGCCAGACACAGTGGTTATACACAGAAAATAGTGCTACAAGATAGGATGGCGGTAAAGAACACAGACAACCAAGGTTTTTTGTTTTATCTGATCATATGCCACCATTTCCTGCATGTAATCATGAATGAAACAGACCAAATATGCACCCTTTTGCAGACACACTATAAAAATATCAAGTAAAAGGGCCTCTTTTTTTGTCCCACAACAATAATCCTCATCTATATTGCGTTCCATACTTGCGCTATCGTCCCGTGCAGGGTACATTGCAGTCACGAACGGCATGCGCGTTAAAAGGGTTACATTGCATTCTCGATAGGAAAGTGGCCAGCACTGAGTTTTAAATGAAGGAAGCGCTCGCAAGCCTGATGACGATTACTGTTGTGGGAACAAAAAGACATTGTTTTTACTCGATATTTTTTTAATATTGTAGAGCGAATTTCAACATAGTCGACAAGTGAAGCTTGATGCTCAAAAACAAAAAAGGACACACTAGGAGAACTCAAATATAAACAGGCTGAACAGCATAAACAGTAAAAATCTGTGACATCACAGTGAGTTGAAACAGAAAATTACACACGATGCCATCGCTCATCACAAAGCCGTTGTACTAGTGCGCATCAAGGCTTACGAAGCTATGCTTTATGGCAACAAACAACTTTCTTGCACCTACACAAGAATAACATACATAATACAGCTTAAACTGTGTTTCTCAGAGATGCTACTTCAACAAACGAATACTGCTTGTGCCTGCTTCTAAATGAAGTGGGAACTAGGTTAAGAGCACACACAATACACACAAACAACAAAATGACATAAAGCCTAGATAGACCATACCATAAAAATTCCTCATAAATTCAATGCTGGACACAAAGTGGCAGTAACATCATGAAGTCGGCCAGTAAGGAGGCTGTCAGGAACCAGCACTTCTGCAACAGTTTTACTAGCAGAACAGTCAACTCCTTTGAGGTCTGTGGCAGACAGTTCAACATGGATTTGTTCTCCCACAAGACTAGTATTTGAAGGCAGGCCAGTGCCTTGCAACTGCAGCAGTCACCAACCATGATGTATAATGTTTATTTTAGTGATGAGATCAATGCATATTGAGAAATAAATGTGGCGATATGAACAAAATTATGAGACAAAAAAATGTCTATGCACAAAGCAATGTGAAGGCACGTTACCCAGTAGCTTATTTACAGATATGCATGATGGTTGACTTATCTTGTACACTGTCTAGCTGCCACCTATTTTCTTTTTTTCGTTGATCGAGTTGATGCTGTCATTTTTCTTTTAGTACCAATGTCCTCCATAAGCTGTACGTCTGTCCATCGCCAGCACCACTACACCCAGACATGCTATGTTCCAGCCGGAACTGTGGTTTGGTTCGCATCGACTAGCTCTTGTTGCAACACAGCAGCATCGCGTACACAGCGCACAGAATTTACCTCCTCCATTCGAGCCCTAACTTGTGATTTTGCACATAATGTGCTCTGCCTGGGGTTTCCTTGCTCAAGATCCCTAGAACACACTTCAACTGGCAGTTCAGCAGGCTCCAAGTCACCTTGAACCTTAAAGCAATCTATTGTTTCTGGCGATTTGGACGTTTCTCGCAATGCACGAGCCCTGTCTTCATGGGCTTTCACATCCAGTACAGTCGCTTGGGCCTCAATATGAATTAAGGCATTGCTCACAGTTGTCAGGAATGAGTTGTCAATGCCGTTGTCTAGTGTCTCATTTGGCTCAAATTTGACACACATGTCTATGTCAGATGTCCTACTTGTTTCTTGCAGTGCACCGTCAGTGTCTTCATTAAATGTCAGATATGGCTCATCTTTAACAAAAGCCCTTGTTTCTGGTGTCTTGCTCAATGTTTCCTGCAACACGCAATTGGTATCATCACAGCCTGCCATAAATGGCTCATTTGACCTTAGCTTGACACAAGTTTCAATATCTAATGCCTTGCTACCTGCTAGTGGTGACGATGCACAAGCAGCACCTTCACTGGCCGCCAGGCACATCTCATTCGGTTCAACCTCGCAGCAGCTACTCATTTCTGGCGCATCGCTAACTGCTTTGGCCTCGGTTGGTTTGACCTTGATACAAGCTTCCCATTTAGATGCTTTGGTAATATTTTCCTGCAACATGAAATCGGTACCTTCAGGAACAGTCATCCCTGTTTCATTTGGTTCAGTCGTGACGAAAGACGCCATTCCTGATGCTGTGCTAGTCAGTTCCTGCAACACATAATAAGCATCACCACTGGCTTCCACCTGAGCCTCTTTTGGTTCTACACTGATGCAAACTTGCAATTTGCTTGCCTTGCTTGTCTCTTCCTGCGACATGCGATCGACATCTTCGTGCGCTGTCATGCTTTGGTCATTTGGTTCGGCCTTGATACAAGGTGCAATATCAGCATCTTGATGGGATGTCAAGAGCATCTCATTCACTTCAACATTCAAGGGAGTGGCCTGGGCCACCCCATGTTCAGCATGGGCTTCTACATGTCCCTCATTCACTTCACCCTTGATACTAACTTCTATTTCAGATGCCTCGCTAATTTCTTCCTGCCCAGTAAAACTGATATTTTCACGAGCAGTCATATTTGGCTCGTTTGGCTCGGCTTTCACACAAGTTTCTATTACTTCTGCATTTCTGTTCCCTCCCTGTGCCGAACAGTGAGCGGTGCCATGAGCTGTCACTTGTGGCTCATTTAACTCAGCCTTAATGAGAACTGAGGCATCACTCACTGTTTTCAATAAGCAATTGATGTTCTCAGGGACAGCGGCAAGAGGCTTATTTGGTTTGACATTCCTAAAAGCTTCCCTCGATGCCTTCATTATCATTTGCTGAAGTACAGGATCAGTATTTGCATTCGCTGTCACGTGTGGTCTGTTCTGGTAAGCAGCTAGAACACGTGAAATGTCCTGTCCCTCAGCAAGTGAGAACATCTCTTTAATGTGTTGGCACGGTGGCCCAGCCTTGAACTCAGAACAAGAGCAGCTTATAATGTTGACGTTCACTTTGTCAAACGTACTACTCTGAACACAAGAAGGGACTGACAAAGTGCTGTTTTTTTTGCATAGAGAGGCTTCAGCCAAGCCTTGCCCAGATTGTTTTGCACCATTAACAGTTTCGCTGTGGGCACACGTGGGCAATGCGCTGAGGTGAAGAGGGTGCATGGAGTTTGCACTGGCTTGAACAGCTTGCGGCTTGTTATTTGGTGAGAACTTCTTTGTGAATACTCGAACGAGTCCTCGAGCACGGTGGCTACAATATTTTGCTAAGCAGGACTGTGCTTTTGAGCTTTCAGTCCCTGGATGCGCTATCAAGTCGCCAAAACAAAACGCCTGTCCCTGATTATCTGCCAGCATTTCAACGACCAACAGCCACTTTTGATATACATAACTTTGCAGCCTTTTGTTTCTTTGCCAATGGGGAGATTGTTCCAGCATTTCCGAGCACTGACCTGCGCTCATCGTCGCTTTTGCTGCACGTAACCTTTTGCAGCATTTCCTTGACGAAACTGATGTCCCTTGCATCGCTCGATGTTGTGGGTTGCCACTCACTCCACGATATAGCTCGGTGGAAGTTGCATAGTAGAGGACGGCTGTCCGGAAACATGGAAGAGAGTGCGTTGATTTCTGCTTCACTGTGTTCTACAATCCAGAATTTCGTAATGGCAGCGTATGGGTCACGAGCCTTGAACAGATCAAATGCCTTCGCCATGCAGTCAAGCATCTCAAAGTCAATGAGAAACACACCAGCCAAGACATGATGCATTGGTGTTTTGAAGCCTAGGAGAAAAGCCGGTAGGACATAGTCGGTTCCGCACAATGCCATTTCAATACAAATGACAATCTCAGAATGCTTGTGCATGAGATGTGCCACAAAATTTGTATTGGCACAACGTCGCAATACGTCCTTGCATTCACTTGCTACTCTCCTCAAGACATTGCACTTGAGTTCCATAGGTTTAAAATGACGACCTGTTTCCGGCCATTTCTTATGTAGTTCATTCACAAAACATGCGATGTCCTCTTGCACGATAGAACTAAACCCGTCCTTCAACAGGGCTCTTCGTAAAATATCTTGTATGGTTTCCTTTGTGGCGTCGAAATACTTGCACTTTGTTTTTAAGTTCAGATCGCCCTGCCAACAGAACTTCTTTAACACAATACTGTCAAACAGTTCCCCTTTGTTGCAGGTAGTGGCACGTTTGTCTGGGCTGCTTGCATCTGATTTTGCATTATGTTCATGTTTGCTGGCTGTTTGTTGCAGCAGCTTTCTGTGTTGTGGTTCGAATGGTCTGCTGGCTGTTCTGTGCATTCTTTGATGCAATATGTCGAACAGTTCTCGTTTGTTGCAAGTAATGACATGTCTGTCTGAGCCAATTGCACCTGATTTTGCAGTACGCTGATATTTGCTGGCTGTTCTTCGCAGCAGCTATCTGTGTCATGGTTCAAACTGGTTTGCTGGCTGCTCTGCGCATTCTATGATGAAACTTGTGAAACAATTCTCATTCGTATCAAGTAATGGCGTGTTTGTCTGTGCCGATTGCATCTGATTTTGCATTACTTTCATATTTGCTGGCTGTTCTTCACAGCAGCTATCCATGTCATGGTTCAAATGATTTGCTGCCTGTTCTGCACATTCTTTGATCCAGTATGTCAAACAGTTCTTGTTTGTTGCAGATTGCATCTGATCTTGCATTATGGTCATGCTTGCTGGGACATGTTTTTCGCAGCAGTAATCTTCGTCATCGTTCAAACTACTAATTTTGTCGCACATCTTGATGTAAAAACGTTGATGCCTGAGCAGAGGCCTCCAAACAGACTCTTTATGAAGAGCCTGCTTCAGTCGCCACAGCGTTTCTTTTATGGCTGCTTCACGTCCTCGACTTGTAGAGTATTTTGTAAGGAAAGGCACCTGAAAAAGGCAGAGTGGAAATGCACGACAGTGTGAGAGTGTGGCACAAACTTCTGGGCTGAGCGAATCTCTACAACAATGACAAAAGACAAAAACAATGGTACCTACCCTTTCATACCACGAAGCCCAAAAGAAAATTCATATAAGCCTCTGAGAAAGCTCCTCTGCTGACATAAAGTTAATTCCAGACTGGGACCTTTAAGTAATACTGACCTGAAAGTGTTGAATCTTTAGAGTGCTGCTCTTCGGCGCACGTTAGTGCGCTGAGCGGTATTGATTGATATGTGGGGTTTAACGTCCCAAAACCAATATATGATTATGAGAGACCCCGAAGTGGAGGGATCCAGAAATTTCGACCACCTGGGGTTCTTTAACGCGCGCCCGAATCTGAGCACACGGGCCTACAGCATTTCCGCCTCCATCGAAAATGGAGCCGTCGCAGCCGGGACGATACCCCGACCTGTCAGGTCAGCAGCTGAGTACCTTAGCCACTAGACCACCGTGGTGGGGCTGAGCAGTATTGCCACTGGAGTTGTCAGCATAACCGCTAAAGGCAGAGTTTCGGAACAAATTCTTTTTTTCTGTTCGAAAACTAAAAAAAAATGTTCCATAATGGTTCGTAACAGTTTTTATCAGTATGCGAAATTTGAAGTGAGGTAATGACAGCATGTTGGACTAAAATAAAGCACGTTCTTTCCAAGTTTTTTAGAGGAGCGCAAGTCGCTGTAACACGCATTTCTACAAATTAGTGCGATCCGGCACCTTTCTCATTCACATTATTTATTTTCTCAAAAGTGAATTACGAGTTTTTTTTGGCAGGCTTGATCCTTTGTGCCTAGAGAGTGAGCATGGTCTCATAAGCAGCCTCAAATGTACTCTGTGATGTGCGAGACAGTTGGTATAATGAAACAAACTTCAGCGCCAAGAATGCCCTCTCTATGCGGGCCAACGTGAAAGGCACTCAAAAGTCCACTGCGCCAGTTTAAACATCTCAGGTTTCCACTTTTCCTTCACGAAATTTCAGCACATTTTTTGTTTGGCATTCCTGCCTGAGAAACTAACTGTTACTGCATTCTGAGATATGCATTACTACTCACTTTGCATGACATCGTTAGTACCAGACTGACAAGTTTTCCCGTGAACAGAAAAACGATTGAAAAAAAAAAAAATATCTGTTTTATTTGAGAAAGAAATAATACATAACATTTTAGTTACATTTTCTTTCTGGTTAAAAATATTGAGTTCTTTATTTTCTTCATTATCATTTCGATTCAACACACTAACTAGAGCAAACGAGTGCGAAAGAGAGCCATTGAGGACAAAGCGGAGAAAACGCAGGAGCCCGTCGATGTCACGAGCCGTTAGCCTCTAATCATTCTTCATGATGAAACAAGTGCTAAAAATACACACATTCAGAGAGGACACAGACAAGGGCTTTGAGTGTGTGTATTTTTAGCGCTTGTTTCATCATGAACCTTTACCAACACGCCCAACTGGCAGTCATCCTAAATCATTCTTCCTCTGTCACGCTGCGCTGGCCCCTCGGTTCGTGACGCCTGCAATGCACAGAGTGATGTGGCGTAGCGCTGGAGCGATTGTAAGTTGCTGTGGAACTATGCAACGAAATGTTACATTGCTACAACTGCGGATAGCCAAAACTTGAAACAGAGTTGGCGTTGCCCCAAACACGAAGCCAACACAAAACACGCATTACAGAGTGTCACAGTTTTCCGTTGCTTGGAAAGCTTCGTTCTGTTTCCGTGAAATCTATATAAACTGCGATTACTGCAATGCTAAGAGACATGAACTTGGCAGTGAAACCCTTGAGTGTGTTTCTCTCAGTCAAGTGACACTAGTACAGTCAATCCCGGTAGTACAGAATCAGAAAGGGATCCCAAAATATTTAACTATACCAAAATCAACGCTTTGGACGAACACCTGGCTGGTCGAGAAGAACCATTGAATAAATAAATGAGGACTAAAAAGATGAGGACTAAAGATGAGGAATAAATGGACGAGGAGAGACTACAGTCAAACTCCACTACAACAAGATTTCCGCTTTAACGGACGTTTTTCGTTTCCCCGCTCGCATGCCATAGGCTTTAAAGTATTAAAACTTCCTCCACAACAAACCACTTTTTTATTGTTTTCCCGGTTCAACGAAATTTTCCCGGGACACGAGTTACTCAACCAGCCATAAATCAAACCACGCTAACTGGTAAATTGGAGTGAAAACACTTTTATCCTTAAAACCGGCACGAAAAAAAAAAAAGTACACACGACAGCGGCTACTTGCGTTTATTATTTTTTTTTCTTGCCCTGCCTCTAATAGGCAATTCTTATTAGCTGGCCCACATTCAGAGTCTACATTAAGCATTTTCTTGGTTATCTGACAGCAAACGCACCAAAGTAGACCTGAGTCTACGTAACCTGCCAAATGCTGCAAAACCTTGATACCCTGGAAGACGCCATTGTTTCTGGTTGATGACGATGCTCCGCAGCATTCCAAGAAGCATATAGTTATGCCGTGAAAGCTTGTGAGCTTGGCCAGCCAAAGCAGAGCCCAATCCACACGTTAAATATTGGCTACTGGCCCGTCTTTTTTTTTTTTCCACGTGTTCTGTGGCGTTAGCAGTGTTAGTCCTAGTTAGTCTACGCCTCATGCCTCATCTCGTTAGCTTTGTAGATCAGTAGTCCAGCACCTTGTTAGCTCCAACCTGCATATTTCTTTTTCTTCGGTCTACTGGCACGAGTGCTTATGGCAGCACTACAGAGTAAGAAACGGAAGTTTCTTTTACTGGAGCAGGAGGCGGAAATGATTGCCACGAAAGCAGCAGGACGAAAAAAAAGGATGCAGCGCCTAGGAATGTGGTACTTCGCCGAGGTTGCTGTCGACGATACTGAAGCCCGAAAGCGAGCGTCTTAAATGCGCTAAAGGGAAGAAGACGACCCAGCCGAGCCCATGATGAACTCGACAAGGCAGTGTATGCCTGGTTTCGCAAAATGAGGGCTAAGAAGATACCAATCAGCGGTAGCCTCATTCCGCAGAAAGCACTGAACTACGCCTGGGTTTTAAATGGTTTTGTGCACATTTTCTCAATGAACGTACCACTTTAGGTAGCTTGTGTGATATCAAAGCCCACCATTTTATAATTAAATGTAAAGGCAATCTCCAATGGCGAGCAGTAACGCACATTGTTTTGCTGATGTTTTCTTGTATCCCTAGATTACTAACGCGAATACATTGTAAGTCTTTGTGTTAAAAACCAGAGAGTATCACCTCACTACGCAGTAATCTTCCCAGCCCCTAATTCTTTCATCCACCATTTGAAGCTTATCAGTGACCTAAGTGCACAGTGTTTTCTGGTTAGTAGCTGAGCGACTGAGCTTCAGCTTCAGATCGTCTGTGGCTCAAAAGCAAGTCAGTGGCAAAAGCAGGGCAGTCCAATCGCCATCGCTATTAAGCGATGACGGCACCCATGCTTGCTGAACAGCGGTGGTTTCTAGTGGTACCAACGCGTTTTAGACTTTGTGGACCTATTTTCAGGTTCTGAAAATGCAGTAAAAATGTTAAAGATTGTGTTTACTGTATATCAATAAATATCTGATCTTGGAATTGCATCATAAAATTTCGTTGAAGCGGGACGGCAGAAGAAAATGTGTTAGTTGTGGTGACAACATTGGCGACTCTTATGGACTGCTGACAAGGAACTGCAAATTTTTTGTTGTAGTGGTAATTTCGTTGAAGCGGCATTCGTTGTAGCGGGGTTTGACTGTATTAATAAGAAATAACAAATAATAATGCCAAGGAAAGTACTTACACTATTTCTTTGGCATTATTGTCTGTTGTTTCTCGTTAATAGTGGCTTATTACAGTATGTTTGAGCTAATATCCTACCCGAAATTCTGGGTACATATCCACTTGCTTGATGTACATCATGGCAGGGCGGCGGATGAGTTCTGCACCACGGCAGTTGTCGTGCTTCATCAAGATAGCTGCAAACCAGTCTGTCTCTTCTTTCTGCATAAGAACAGAAAAGTACACATGAACACATGATGAGAATTGCAGGATAATCACCAATAAATTACCGAAAACAGTACAGTAACTTACCATTATATGAAAAACACTTTAGCTGAAGTACTGCTGTGTTCGATGTTTCTCCAAGCCTATGCCAGTACATGCTCTTCAAACATGATCTTTAAAAGTGCTGTGATTTCTTCGCTTTATCGTTAAGAACAAAGCCAAAAATCTGTGTATACGCAGGGAATCTTCACGCTTATTACAATCGCAATCTCTAGCACTATCACAAATACCTAGAAATCACTACATCTAGGAACCTAGACAGGGACTACCATACAAAATAACATTTCCTCATCTGCTCTAACAAAACAACACCTTCTATGCCACAAGCATAAAAATGCACCATATTGAGTTAAATCATTATTTTTTTCTTTATCTAACACAAACTAAAATGTTATTGCAGTGAGGAACTGCATAGAGGAAACAAGTCAAGTCAGCATGAATGATGATCCTAAGAGTGCATGATGAATCGCAATCACTATGTTCTGTCATGTCTAAACACTACTGTGTAAGATTACCAGGCCCGATAAAGAACACACAGCCCGATTATCCCGCATGGATCCCGCCGGCTCTGCCACCAATCCTACCGGTCCTGACGCCCAAGAAGACGCCAGACCTAGCGATGCGGCAGTCGCTGCGATTCAACATGTCAACCTGCCACCATTTTGGCCCAACAGCCCCAGCACATGGTTTCTGCAGTTTGAGGCGCACTTCCGTCTACGGCAAATCACCAGCCAACAGACCAGGCACTGGCATCTGGTATCCTGCTTACCTCCGGACGTAGCCGACGACTTAGCTGATATTTTAGCGTCGCCGCACCCGAGCCATCCCTATGACACGTTGAAGGCAGCTATCATTTCCCGCCAGCCTGAGTCCGAACACAGCAGACTCCAGCAGCTCATCACGGCTACAGAGCTCGGAGACCGTCGCCCATCACAGCTCCTGCGACGCATGCGCCAGCTCCTTGGCGGCCCCTCCGCCCCTCAAGAGGAGAAGCTGTTACGTGAGTTGTTCCTCCAGCGCTTACCGCAGAGCATGGTCCCGGTCCTCGTAGCTGCAGGAGATGTCCCACTAGACACACTCGCTGAAATGGCTGACCGAGTGGCGCACTACTCGCGAGCACATAGCCTCAACGCCGTTATCACACCGCCACCGGCCACCGCTGCAGACCCGGCGCTCGCAAGCATCGAGAACCGTTTGGACGCCCTTGTCAGGCGCCTCGATGACTTTGTACCTGCGCATCGTCGACCGTCATTCAGGTTCCAGATACACAGTCGCTCCTCGACCCCCCCCCCCCCACGTTCTCCGAAACTTCGGCCACCTGACGCGCCGCGGGACGTTTCATCCTCAACCGTGTGCTGGTACCACCGCCGATTCGGTGCCTCTGCTCGCAAGTGCACTCGCCCGCGCTCCTGGTCGGGAAATGCGACGACAGGCCACTGACGGCGGCAAGTGGTACTGGTCGAAAGTCATGCCGTCTTTTCTATGTTTCTGATAAGATCACTGGTGCTTGCTTCCTAGTCGACACAGGAGCCCAGGTTAGCGTCATCCCGGCCTCGTGTGCAGATCGCCGTCGCAACGAACAGACCTGCCCACTCCAAGCGATCAACAATTCTGCCATTCGCACATACGGCTAACGCTCTCTTACACTTGACCTTGGACTACGCCGTACATTCCGCTGGATTTTCATCCTTGCTGACGTCTCGCAAGCTGTTTTTAGAGCTGACTTCCTCAGTTTTTTCAACCTTGCTGTGGACATGCATGCTCATCGCCTCATTGATCTCAACACCCGCCTCTCCGTCAACGGTATACTCTGTACTTCCTCCCCAACGGGACTGCGAGCTCTCACACCTGCTTCGCCGTGTGCAAAAATACTCGACGACTTTCCCACCATCACGAAGCCGCACACCCGAGAGTCACCGGTGAAGCATTCCATCACTCACCGCACTGTGACCAATGGACCTCCCGTTTTTACATGACCCCGTCGACTATCTAAAGAACGCCTCGCCATCGCCCGCCGTGAGTTTGAGCACATGCTTGAACTCGGCATTGTGCGGCCTTCCTCCAGCAACTGGGCGTCGCCACTCCACATGGTGCCGAAGAAAGATCCTGGCGACTGAAGACCATGTGGGGATTACCGCGCTCTCAATGCCCACACCTTACCATGATCGCTATCCACTTCTTCACATACAGGATTTCACATCAAATTTGGCTGGGTGCACAATCTTCTCTAAGATTGACTTAATTAAGGCTTACCGTCAGATTCCTGTAGAACCCTCCGACATTCCGAAGACGGCCATCACCACCCCATTCGGTCTGTTTGAATATGTGAGGATGCCTTTTGGATTGCGCAACTCTGCACAGACCTTTCAGCGCACTATCAACGAGGTCACGCGAGGTCTCGATTTCTTATTTGCCTACCTTGATGACCTCCTTGCAGCAAGCTCATCCGGCCCTGAGCATGCAGCCCACCTGCGCACCCTGTTCCACCGCCTCGGTGATTACGGCTTCGTAATTAATCCTAATAAGTGCCTCTTCGGTGTCGCTACAATAGAGTTTCTAGGCCACCTTGTCACTCCGAAGGGTATCCAACCACTCGCCAGCAAAGTGAAGGCTATTCAAGACTTTCCACCCCCGAATTCACTGAAGAGACTCCGAGAATTTCTGGGCCTACTAAACCTCCATCGCCGCTTTCTTCCAAAGTGCGCCACATTCCTAAAGCCCTTGACCAACCTATTGGCTAAAAAGAAAGACCCGGGTGCGCCACTGGAGTGCGCCACTGGCCTTCGACACTGCCAAGAAGGCTCTGGCAGACACTACCATGCTCATACATCCCGTCCCTGATGCCCCAATTCGTCTCATCAACGATGCATCAAGCGTGGCAGTTGGCGCTGTTCTCGAGCAGCACGTATCCGGTTAACAGCCTCTTGGGTTTTTCTCGCAAAAACTGAAGCCACCAGAGACAAAATACAGTACATTTGCCCGAGAACTCCTCGCGGCATACCTCGCCATCAAACATTTTTGTCATTTATTGGAGGGCCGGGACTTTTAAGTCGTTACAGACCACAAGCCCCTGACGTTTGCCTTCCATCGCAATCACAGCAATTATACTGCACGGGAGATCCGTCAACTATGCTTTATTTCCGAGTTCACTGTGGATCTCAGACACGTACATGGGCCGGAAAATTCTGCTGCTGATGCACTATCCCCCATCACTGATGCACTATCCCGTGCTGTGTGACTTCAGCACGTGCTAGGAAGCACGTGCATTCCAAATGTTACCCTTAATTTATGTCAGCTGTTAGCCAATAGCATGCTGTCCGACCTCAAACAGCAGAGGCCAACTGCTTTGAAAAGTGTGAGCACAGGCATTAGTACAGAGAGAGGGCACTTCAAAAAGTGGCTATTTCGCACTCCACTTGTACGCATTAAGCGCCGTTCACTACTGCAAGATTCGGCTGACAGCCCACCACGGTGTGAAGCAGTGGAAACTTGGGACAGTTGGTAGAACATAACTAAATGTAGAAACGATGAAACCTAGAAGTAGTTACCGCGTAACTACGGAAGCGAAAAAACAAGGACAGAAAAGAGCACTGACTTTGAACAAAGTGAATTGGAAGTTGAAAGTTAGCCCTCTTTGCTGTCCTTGTTTTTTCGCTTCCATAGTTACACAGTATCTGCTTCTGGCTTGCACTGTTCCTACATTCAGTTTCACCACGGTGGTCTAGTGGCTAAGGCACTTGGCTGCTGACCCGCAGGTCCTGAGATGGAATCCCGCCCGCATTTTCAATAGAGGCGAAAATGCTTGAGGTCCGTGCGCTTAGATTTAGGTACACCTTAAAGAGCCCCAGGTGGTCTAAATTTCCGGAGCCCTCCTCTACGGCACCTCTCATAATCACATGGTGGTTTTGGGATGTAAAACCCCAGATATCATCCTAATGATTTGGCCAAGCTGTCCTTAGCAGTGCTTTCTTGCTGCAAGATATGCTTGTTTCATCACACCTTAGGAGCAGCTAATGACCTCTTTAATGTGAGCCAACCCCTCGATGTGAACAGTCGTTGCCCTTGCTGGGCAACATTACCAACACGACTCATGTTCTACGGTCATTTAAATCAAGTGCCTAAGTGAAAGGGATACAGATCACACAGCATAACATCAGAAAAATCATTCAGACAAAATTTCCACATCTAAGTATCAAGGTTTTGTGCTGCCATAGTTATCGACGAATATTTTAATAATTGTTGGCATACTCCATCCCACAACCACAAAATGATTATGATAAATGCTGTAGTGAAGGGCTCCGGAAACTACCTGCGGTTCCTTAACATGCATTCAAATATAAGCCTATAAGGCTCAAGCATTTTGCTACCATGAAAATACGACTATCATGGCCAGGATCCAATCCCTCGCATCTTCAGGTCAACAGTCGTACCACAGCCACTAGACTATGGTGGTGGGTAGCACTGCCATGGTTGTAGCATGCAAGTCCCCTCCCATACAATGTAGCTGCAAGAAACTTTTCGCGCATTACTCATTGGCCAATCGACAAATTTAAACTCTACTTCCCTTGCTCACTTTTCCACGTATTGGAACACAAGTCACTTACCTCACCACACTCGGTGTTCCGCACACTTTCAGGGTCAATTTCAATATCGCAGCAGGGTTGCCACAACCACGCAGTTGCCACGACCGTGAACGGCATATCTTCGTCTATGAAGACGTGGTCACTCCGAGGGCACTGCCGGAGCCTCTCTGCATTGATAGACCACAGGGCTAAATTGCATGTTTTCTATCAGTGCATCAATGAGTCCATTTTAGCCTATTTGTAAATGTTAAAGCCTGCAAAATATTGTAGAGCTGTGATGATGCGAATAAATTGCACAATCACTCCTAGCGCTTCACCCGTATTTTGTTTGTTGTTATTGGAAGGTTGCCTTTCCACATAGTGTTTCACTTGAGAATGTAAGAAGACATTGGTTTATAATAACAATGTCAGAAAGTGCAGTTTTGACCGTGATCAAGCCGGGCATGAATGGAAATTTCTTGACCACTATCGATGCCCTTCTGTAAGTCAAGAGGCAAACTGCGAACAAAAATTTCAATGCCTACAGGTCTCTTGCCTCTTACGATGCTTTGAATCTGACATGTAGCGCCACTGAAGCAACTTGTGGCAATAAGCAACCATTCTCTTCTCACAACAGTGCCAGGTTTACAATGGCATCTAGCCACACATACGAACGTACAAGGTGGAGGGAGAAAGGTCGCTTGTACAAACTGTGGTATGTGGGGATGCAGTAGCTGTAGGAAAGTAGTCAAAGAGCTACCCAAGGCGAAATTAGCAGATTTGGTTTCAATGATTCGACATACTAGATAGGATAAAGGACGAAGAAACCGTTTGAAGCAACTCTGCTGCATTCTTCATGTGGTGTGCCCATTTTCGAATACTGTAGCGCCACATTATACTCTTTGAAAGTTTTTTCAGGCTTCCCATCTCCAGTGCCATTCCAGGTTTATGCATTTGCACAGGTGGTTCTCTTCAGCAGACTGTCTGAAAGCACCTAATTCTGTGCGGGTATTTTTTTCCCTGTACTTAAAGGGACAATGAGCAAAACGATTTTTCGCGCATTAGTGACGTACAATTTCACAATCCCTAAAACACCACTCTTACCACCCCACAACACTTTGTAAGTGAGAAAATGGGAAAAAAGAAACTGCGGGTGGAGACGTCACCTTGAAATCCCCGCACCAAACATTGTGACGTCATAAATTTTGCAGGTGTCTACTGGGTTCTACATAGCTTCTCATCGATAAAATTGGAGTATGTTGTAACCTGTGCGTACCATTGACATGGATACAAAGTTTCAGGAAATTTCAGCAAGCCAATGCTGCAAAAATACGAAAAATGTGTGGAATTTCTTACGTCACGCATGAAGATTACGGCGTGAAACTTTAAAATGAAACATCAACCTTGATTTTTTCTGCTAATAATGAACTTATGACATTCGAGTTCTCAGAGCGCAGTTTATCAATCTAAAACAACTTTTTGTTTCTCTAAAGTGTTCCTTTAACCTGCAAGGTTGAATGTCATGGCAGTTGCATGTGCATTGCAATATTGGCCCTCTATATAAACACACAGTGACCCGCGACGTGTACGGACCTGCGGTGTGCTTGCCAGAAGCTATTGTCGAACCCTGTATTACACGCTAAGAAATCAGTCATTGTAGTATTCCGAATAAGACTAAGCGTTGGTTCGTACTGCATGAGAACATTTTTTTGGATATGTGAAAATGTGCCAAACAAACAGTGCTAGACAAGGATTTGGTGCGGCTGCCCTTTTTTAACCAGGCTACCATGTGAAATCAACATAAGCAACTAGCCCAACCTTCCAACACACATGCCGACCTTGCAGTAGAAAGTGATTGTTTAAATGTAAGCCTTCTAAAACAGGTATACTATATATATACCCCAAATTGCATGCCAGGAAAACGCAGTCTACTCGCCCCTAAATGCATTTTATATGTTACTTTTCATTCATGCTACGCACTGTCTGGAGATTTTTAACATAGTGATGCCACTGTGGAGCTCTCAGATGCCGTAAACGTGATTAGTAGCATACAAATCATCACCACGAAACTAAATACTTGGCTTGAAATATTCGTGAAATTTGGATATTTGTAGCTACAAAATAGCAGGAGGGGTTTGATACACATTGGCTTGCGGACCGCACTCAGCTTAGAGCATTTGCCTGGAAGGGAACTGACAAACTAAGAAGTTTTTGAATAGCCCCGCGAAGCCTTGCATTTGCGCTGCACAATTGTGCAATCCCCTCATGCGGGCTCCCATAAAGTGAAGAATGCAAATGATACGCTCAAAAGCTTTGTGTAAGCCATCAGAAAACTCTCTATTATGCTCGACAGGGCCACACTGGCATTACACGTTTGGACAGTGGTGTCACCACCATAAAAGAACGCCTGCATACAAAGTGTGACAGCTGCATGACATGCAGTGTGATGGCAGCAACTTGCTAATACTGCAATTGCTATGCGATAAGCAGAGTGCTTTCCGTTAATGCCTAAGGTGACAGCTCGTTATCCAAAATATGCCTGTAAAGGCATTAGATAGTACTTTCGCTTCTGGCACTGCTTGGTTCGCATAAAAATTAGCCCGAGGATCTGATCGCAGGGAACATTTAGTAATCGTTAGCGGGTGGGTTGGTGATGGCAAAGCTTTATGCAACGCCAGGGATGTCCATTGACCACGCACATAAGGACATAATTTTTCGAATACCTTTACACATGAAGATGCAAGCGTTGATTTAAATGGGCTAACATATTTTTGAATATGGGGTAAGCAAAATACATTTCAAGCTCATTTAAAATACAACGCGTATGATATGTCCCATACCTAGAACAACACTCTAGACATTACTTCTGACGGTAGCGCACGATAAAAGCTACATTTCTTCCAAATGTTGCGATCCGAAAGCAACACCAGTAAAAACCAGCGCCATACGGTTGACACATCACAAACCTTTTATGCAAGGATATTCCTTCGCTGTCAACGCTTTCAATATCACCTTCTTGGCGGCGAGGTAGCGCATGAACTTGTCAAACTTCTCCTGGGAATCTACATAGCCAGTCCAACAGTCAACGTGCCTTCGAGCGTTTTCGAGGTGCCGAACGTACCGCAACATCTTTACGATGCACGGACTTCTCCTCAAGTGCAGCAACCAAGCGTCAACACACAAAGGTGCACAGGGAAGACACTTTCCCGCGCAGTTGCAGATGCTTTCTGACACAGTGGCTTCAAGCTGCCCGCCAGCCCCTCTGCTTAGTACGTACCGCCGTACGCAAGGGCGGCATTTGTCTGAAGTCACGAGGGTTCTAGCTGTGGTTTCAACCCATATAGTCTCCTATGGTTCTTCCAGTTCACTGTGCTTCGCTAGTTTTAGCCTACTGGTCCCGTTAAAGTCTCGGTTCACTGCAGTGCACTAACCACTACATCAGCCGCCTGTGGATGCCGGGTTGAACTGACACTTTACATTTCATGCGTGAGTACATCGGTACGTGTCTGCACGTACGCGGCGGCTGTTTTCTTTTTGTGACTACCAGAACAACGAAACACCAGAATCATGGAGGTAGCATACAGACTCTGGAAAAGAAGCTGGGCTGTGAAAGCTACAACTACCAGAACGCTGACATCTTGCAACGTTGTCAATGTTGCCCTTACAATAATTTAAAAATGCTAAAGATGGCAAAACTCAAGTATTCAATTATTGCACAACAAATTATAAAAAAAACGTGCTCACGTAATGAAAACAACCGTAATTTGTGCGATGTATTTATGTATATTTTTTAAATAAAGATACAATGGCCATTTAAGCAATTTATTGCGTGTAAAAAGAAGCGTTTGCAGGCTTGTTTACTAGAGGATGCTACAACTTATGTAACGCCTCAATTATAGAGCATAAAGTTAATATACAAACTCTGGAGGAAAATTTGGGTTTAAAAATACACTCTAGCTGGGTCGTGGAAGCTATTACTCTATAACGTAGAGAAAGAAAACTTGGAGGAAAAGTGTTTTCTCCTTGATGCTCTATTGCTCCATTAGACCATAACCACATAAACGCTGACATCTTGAAACTTTGTCATTGTTGCCATTACATGATTCAAAAAGATTGCTAAATTGAGCAGTTTAAATTTGTCCAATATTTTATTTTAAATTGTAAACAAGTTCATTTACGTATTAAAACCAAACGTAAACTGTATAATATTTTCATATCAACTTTATTAACGAAATATACTATTACCATTTGTGCCAGTTACTGCACGGGAAAAGAAGCGTTTGCATATTTGTTTACTAAATGGCGCCACTAATCCATATACAGTAATACAGATTGTTCAGAATGACCGAAACCACAAGTTCTTAACGTCGACAAAATAAACAAACTCAAAAGCAATCAAAATACGCCTTCAGCGAGCCGAATGAAACCTCGCGTCGATGCTCGCAAATCCTGCCAAGCGAAAAAAAACAACAACAAATGCAGGCCTTTGAGATTGCTTACAAACGCGCCGCATTTCAGGGGGCCAAGGGCTGTGTGTTTTGATTTGTGTGATTTTTACACTCGAAACGCAGTTTGGACGTTCGGGCGACCCACATTGCGCTCTGTGAGTTCTGCACATGCATGCATTGCACACACATACACACACACACAAAAAAAGTTAATGCAACACAGCCACTCCATCCAGCATGGCCGCTTTAAGATGATATGATTAGGATTTGGCCTCCATGCGGTTTGGAGATTTATTCCGCAGGCCTGGTATTCACTTCAATATTGCCATTTCTCCAGATAGAAAGGCAACATACTTTGCATAGAATTTCATACAATAATGAAACTCTATGATATTTGGTAATGTTTGAACGTGTGATAACTGTAAAATCTCAAACATAGCGCTGAATATAATTACAAAAAAGAAACACGATGTCACAAGCCTTTTTTGTGCGGAATTTAACACAATAAAGTTATTGAAATGCGGCACCACTGGTTTCAATTAAGAACTTAGACGAGTTACACTGTACCAATGTGAATTATTCGTATTCTATTCCGAATTGAAAGATGGTCAACTCAGTAATTACCGATCATGCTGTGGCAATTTTTTTATGATTTAGCGTGTATCATCTTGTTGACATGTTTGCTGTCTGTTGTCACCACTTCGTCCAGTCAAAATTAAGCCTATTATTATTATTATTATTATTATTATTATTATTATTATTATTATTATTATTATTATTATTATTATTATTATTATTATTATTATTATTATTATTATTATTATTATTATTATTATATACCAAATATATATTTGTAAATATATATTATTAATATATTATCACAATAACATTATCTCATTAATAAACTTCTAAATTATGCGCGTTCACCTATAGGATTTGAATATTCACATGCGATTCGGCGCCGAATAGTGCCGTGGTAAATGTGTAATACTCCTGAAAGCCATTGGGCTGCTGCATCTCTTGTTTCTTGATCTCAATAATTCAGGCTCTGATTAAAAAATAAAAAAAAGGTGTGGGGTGAAGCGTGTGGTAAGACAGGCAAGGTTTCAGACAGTGAAGATGCGTAGTTCTAAAGGCTAATCTGTTGGCTCGTTTGCTGTTTCTAGGCCAATTAGATAGGGGATGTTGGTTGTTTCCAGGTTGCTTTAAAGCGGCCCTGCAGCCCTTTTTGCGCATGATCATAGCACGCTGCCGATCGGTAGTGAAGGCTCCCGACAAAACTCGAGCCAAATTATTTAGCGCAGCACGCGGCCTGGAATTCACAAGAGACTATCAAAGTCAGCTAAAAATTGCTTTCTCTTCTCTCGACAAATCACGGAATATACCCCCAAAATCAGACGTAGCAAGCCCATCTATCAGCCATTGGCTGATTTGAACATGGCACGCTCGCTCATTACAGAGATCGCTGTGGGAGGCCGCCACTTGTCCACGCGTGCGCGCGCAATCACGCCGAAAAAGCCGCGCATTCGAAGAAAAAAAAGAGAAAAAAGCGCTCAAGGTCAAGAGGCACGCGTGACGTTTTTCTGTGGCCCTGCCATCCCTCTCTGTTTAGTTTCCAGTGCTTTCGTCGGGACAAGAGAAGAGAGAATGCAATTGCAGCATGCGAAAAACCTTTGTAACTCCACTCGCACTGTACGGATTCTTCTCATTTTTTGCGGCGTTCAATTCGTTCGTAAGGCAATAAGCTGTTCCAGTGATTTCATTTCATGGTTACTTGAAAAACTGTATCAGAACCTGTTTAAGGTCATTGCTAGCCTAAATTATGTTAGGTTGATTATTTGTTGACTCTCAACGCAGAGAGGTTCGGGTTCGGACACAGACGTCACCGACAGGATACAGGTGTTAAAACACCAGATACAAAATTGATGGCTTGTGAGTGTACCACGGGCCGTAAAAGAATGAAGGTGTGTGTTGTCATTATTAAACAACGTTTGTATATTTCGTACTGGGTGGTATATTTATTTCAAGCGGCGGTAATAGATGACATAATCAGCCATGCGTCGGCTTCCCTAGTTGAAGTGCGCCTCTCTCAGGCGTTCATCAATGACCTCCGCGATCAACTCCGGGCGTGCAGCCGGAGCTGATCGCAGAGGCCCCATCCAGAGTTTCAAATTTATGGCGACTCGTACAAGAACGCAGGATGCTGTGGATAAGTACTTGCTTGTAAGAAGGAGAGTAACTTTGGTTGGTATGATATTTTTCAAGGAGGGATGAGGTAGTAGAGGGGTGGTGTTCGGTTATGTGTTTCGATTCCTGATCTTTAAATTCCAGGCCTGGACACCTGAACTTGTGGTATGACGCCCTTAAAAAATTTTTTTTGCACGTATAAGAATAACCAACAGAAACACACAACAACACACAATAAGCAACAGAAATGAACTTGTACATGTAGATGTAGATCCTTAACTTGTGCCTAACACCCACCCTGGCGGATCGGCCAAGAATCGGGTAGCATAACAAAAAAAGTGAATGTATATACTTAAATCCTGGCGGGAAGAAAATTAACAAAAATATTGATTTTTTTGTAATTTATTTTTGAGAAAAAAAAGTTGATGAATTAGTTCCTACTGAATGAACAATAAATGATTGATACCAAGGAACATTTTCTGTAGCCTACATGGGTTAACTGAGAACCTTTCAGTATTGAGGTCATTAGGTAAATCTCTTAGACTGTAAAATGAAATCTTGCACGGCCACGCACACTGTTTTTGTTGCTGTTGTCAACGATACCCATGACACGTCGTAAAAGAAAAAAATTTTACCAAGCCCGAGAGGCTTGGTAAAATTTATTCAAAAGGATACAAGCTCGCTTCACAATAAGTGTGACATCCATCGATAAAGCAACATTACCACTGGAAAAATGTGGCTGCATTCACAAATACTTTACTTTGTACGTGGGTTCTTGCGCTTTAGAGTAAGGAATTTATTCTGGTCCCGTGGGCTAAGATATGAAAACGTACATGAATACACTAATGAATGAGCAGAGATGAAATGACCGATGGAATGGTGTAATACATAGCGTTATAAAGAGAATAAAATAAAGATTAATAGATGAGATTCTAAAGAATGACCCAAGCCATGTAAGACTGCGGGTATTGTGCAATCTGCTTGTCATTACGCAATGACAAGCAGATAAGTTGGCGTGCAGAACAGTTCATATATATATATATATATAATATATATATATATATATAATATATATATATATATATATATAATATATATATATATATATATATATATATATCTATATATATATATATATAATATATATATATATATCGTGGGAGTAATAATTCAATGGGCCAGTTAGTCTTCGTGAAGGTATGGGATATGGCACAACGGGAGCGTTGTCAACAAGGATAAATATATTTATTTCCCAACAGTTTCGGGAGGGGTCCTCCCTTCATCAGGGGATGAGTTATACTAAAATGAACTTCCAAGGGACGTGGCAGCAATGAAGTTTGGAAGTTCATGTTAGGTATAACTCATCCCCTGATGAAGGGAGGACCCCTCCGAAACTGTTGGGAAATAAATATATTTATACCTTGTTGACAAAGCTCCCGTTGTGCCATTCCATATCTATATATATATATATATATATAATATATTATATATAATATATTATAATATATATGGCACTAGGGAAAGTTGGCGGGCGACTTCCTCACGGACGAAGACTCGGACTTGCTGAAGCAATGGTGAATTGTCGGGCATGGAGTCGAAGCTGGACAGCGACTCACCACCAGGCTGAGGCTGCCTAGTCAGAGTGCGTTGCTTTTTCAACTCGTCGTAGCTCTGACACAAGCTGACGACTTCAGAAACTGTGCTTGGATTCCTTGCCAAAGCATTTGAAATGCGCCGTCGTCGATGCCCTTCAGTATGTTTTTGACCTTGTCGGATTCGGGCATGGTGTCATTCACACGTCGACAAAGGTCGACGACGTCCTCAATATAACTGGTAAAGGTCTCGCCAGTCTGCTGAGAGCGGACGCGCAAGCGCTGTTCTGCCCTCTGCTTGCGGACAGCCGGCCGACCGAACACTTCAGCACATGACGTCTTGAAGACGCTCCATGTGGGGATGTTGTGTTTGTGGTTATTAAACCAC